ACAGGAGGAGATGGCCCCTCCTTCTCCGGCAGAGCATCTGGAGGATTCGAACCGATATCTCTGGGATTGCAGTGCAGCCTCTTGCCACTAGGCCACCAGAGCTCCCCTGGAGTTTCTTGAGCTGTGTGGTCATTTTTACCTTGAGGTGACTCTCACACAGCTATCCTGTCCAGTGACTTTGAACTTGATGTACTCTCCTCCTTTCTTGTCCTCAAATCCTCAGTTGAAGGTTTTGCCTTCTGATCAGAAATAGTGAGAGTGGCTTCACCTTGAGGGTCTTCACAAAGCAGCAACCTCAGGGAGACAGGATCTCACTGCGAGATTAACAAATCTTTCTTTCCCCCACACACAATACAACAACTGGAGGGACTTCCCAATGTGTTTCCTTAACTCTGTTCTTCCCCCTTTCATCTCCTTCCCCATCTGAAATGATCCCACTTCATATTAAATTGAGATGTCATCAACCTGTCCAGGTTCATTTACTGTTTCTCTTCTCTGGTCCTCAGTTTCTGTGTCTAGACCCCTCCCTTTTCGTTTCCTCCTCCCATAAAGAAAACATAGCCTTCCCTAGATAGCCTTGTACTTGTGTTCTCAGTGAAATCTCTTCCCGCTGCCACTTAGTTCTTGAGTTACCCCAGCCCTGTAACTACTGCAGTACTGTTATTCTTTATATGTACAATGATTCACTTTGTTGAATGAGCCATTATTTCAACTCAGGATCAGACACACATCCTGTTTTTTTTTTTTATATCCTATATTTTTATATTTCTTGGTGTTTTCTTTTTTCCCCCTTTTCTTTCCAGACTTTAAAGTTGGCTTTTCTCCTTATTTAAGGTTATTAAAAACTTTTTAACCAGGCTAAGCGATTTCATTGTGGCTCCCTGTCCTTTTTACATTATATCCACAGTGTCCAAAGGATCTGCCGAGGATGAGGCACTGGTGTTGAGTGTCGATGGGAAAGGTGATCAGGAAGTTATTAAAACTGAAAATGGACCTCAGCAAGATAGTGTCCCCAAAGAGGACGTCCCGGGAGGTGTGAACGGTGCTGTCCAGAGTGTGAAGGCCGAGCCCAGCAGCGAGCCGGCTGCCTGCTCCAGTTTGGGGTCTGGTCTCCAGGTAACGTAGGAAGCGTGGCCACAGAACCCAAAGCTCATAGGCAGACGCATCCCCTGCACTCTGGGCTTTCGGAGTTCAGAGGCGCCCGATGTCTAAAGAAAGGTCTTCAGGAACTTTCAAGGATGAAAACCGTGATTGTTTTAAATACACTGATGTTGGAACTTAATTTTTCCTTCAGACAGCGTTGAATCAAAGTCTGAACACCGAAGGCCAGTTGAGCTGCAAACTTGAGGCACTCCAGGCAAAGCAGTTCATGAGGAAGGACAGTGCCACCTACTGGCCCGCCAACTGGCGCAGCAAGCTGTGTACCTGCAGAGGCTGCATGGTGAGGCCTGGGCGGGCTCGGGCGGGCTGGGGTTCCTTCTGGTCTTTCTCTCCACTTTACTTTCTATTGCTTTGCATACACAGTTGTTATACATTGTGTGTCATGCATGTGCATTGTGTTTCACACATTCCTACGTGCGTTCACATCGTGTTTCAAATGATCACTCCTGGGCATCGTGGCTTAGAAAATGAATCCCCATTGATCTTTGCCTTCTATCACACCGTCTTCTCAGGTCCCCGCTGGATCTTTCCTCGTTCCTTCGCACACACAGACCTGCCCACCAAACTCCTAGTGATTCTTTCACGTCTGCCCTGCTGTCCCCTTCCCTTGCCCGTTTTGACTTTGAGTGACATCTTCCTAGTTATCCTTCTATTTTTACAATCATGGCAGGTGGAAATCAACACTGCATAGGACAATAATGGCCTTATGCAGTGTTTCTCATCATGAGACTGAGGTACTTCACTCAGCATAATGATTTTCAGATTCTCTCAAGTTATATAGTATCTTACAAAGTCATTGCTCCTTTGTTCTGCACAGTATTCCTCTGTGTGAATGTCCTATAATTTCTCAGTCCATCTGTTTGTTGATGGACATTTGGGCTCTTTCCATTTCCTTCCTGTTGTGAATAACCCTGCTGTGAATGTACGTGTCCATTTGTGTCTCAGTTCTCATTTTCTCAGGGTATATTCCTTAGCAGAGCAGTAGCTGGTCACATGGGATTTCTGTGTTCAGGTTTTTGAGGAAACACCAAACTGCCTTCTAGAGCGATTGTACCATGGTGGTATGTTTTTGTGGGCTGATAAGAACACTTGGAAGTTGTATTTATTGAATTGATGTAAGGTGTGTAGGGAATTGAAAATATTTTCATATTAGGCAAATTTATCAAATATGATAACTCATTAAATTTATCATGTATATTTGCTAAATCTGAACCTTAGCAAATTTATGGGGGAAATTAATACACGTTATTTTTTATCTGTTTATCACAATGATTGTCTTTTCTCTGTCGTAGAGTTACTTGAAACAAGCTGCTTGAAAGTTAAAACAAGCCAGTAGTTTTGAAACTGAAATATCGTAGACTGTCTATAAGGTTATTGTCTGATGTTGTTGTTGGTATGTGCTGTCGAGTTGCTGTGAACTCAAAAAAATCACCCTATGTACAACAGTTCTGAAGCCTGCCCTGTCCTGAGCCAGTCTCATTGACTTCAACACACCTACGCCCATTGCCCCAGTTACTGTCTCAGTCCATCTCACCTGGAGTCTTCCTCTCTTGTACTGTCTCTCTACCCTTCTGAGCATGATGTCCTTCTCCAAGGACCAGTCCCTCCTGGCCACATGCCCAGAGTATATAAGACAGAGCTTCAAAATCCTAGCCTCAAAGGAGAAACTTGATTCTCTGATTGAGAACAAAAATGTTTATGTAGCATTACCTCTTATTACACAAAAGTATAAGCCAAAAACTCCCAAACTCTTGTGCATATTGAAAGTTTTCCAAAAAGAACTCTTAGATGCAAAATAAGACCCAAGTGGCTCAAAAGGAATCAGTGGCAGAATATTACTCTAACATCACACTATGTTGAAAGCCTTAAGATTGTTTCTTTTTAAGCTACAAAAATACCACCAAGCAGAAAGGTTTTACTTTTGTACTATATACACACCATGGACTGCTAAGAGAACCAACAGGTTCAGCATGGAGAGGGTTAAACCAGGCTGCTCCTTGGAGACAAGGACTCTGAGACTTCGTCTGACATACTTTGGACATGTTTCAAGGAGGGACCAGTCCTTAGAGAGGGACATCATGCATGGGAGGGTGGAGGGACAGCACAGGAGAGGAAGACCCTCTATGAGGTGGATTGATTCGGTGACTGGGATAATGGGGGCAGGTGTGTCGGAAATGGTGAGATTGGCACAGCATAGAGTAGGGTTTAGGGCTGCTATACATAGGGTCGCTATGAGTTGCAGGCAACTTAAAGGCACAACAACTATGTATACACAGAAATAATACAAAATGCCCCATTCTGTAGTTTCAAAGATTAAACAGCAACCATAAGACGCGGTTGGTCTCTCATGGGTCAGAGGTAACTCAGATGGCTCACAGCCCGTGAAAGTCCATTTTTTCTTTTCAGAGTCTTGTCGGAGGTTTTCTGTTTGCCTCTGCATGTTGCTGCTTTGATAGATTTCATTTTCTAGTTTTACAGTGCTCCATTCTGTCTCATAATCCTTACTAACCAGGGACACCCAAGTTGACCCCATTTCTCTCAATTTAGACTCAGCTTTTAGTTGCATGTTCTTCCGCTGCCAGTTTGAATCTTGAATGTGTTTCCTTAATTTCTCTTTTTGGGCATGTTTAAAGCATGTGAACCAGATTTTCATTGTACATTTTTTTCAGGCATGACATCCATTCTGTGACAGTCGTTCTAGATTCTCTGTTGGAACTACTTGACGTTTTAACTGGGCCATAGAATTATTTACACACACTTGCCATGCAGTAATAATATTTTTTCGGACCTGAAGCAGGGGCTGGAAGCCCATGTTATTTCATACTGAGCAGCTCGGTTGGCTGTTGAGCAGCCAGTGTTTCAAATTCATCTCTCATTCCGTCAGTTTCAAAAGCTGACCCCTCGGGGGCCGTCAGGCAGCTGTTTGTACATCGGCGTCTGTGAGTTGCTGCCTCCACCAGCGCCAGGCGCTTGAGAACCTTGCTCAGAATAGGGCAGCATATCCACCTGCAGCTCCCCGGCCGCTAAACCCGACCCGCCATTGCAGTTTACCTGAGGTTGGGGATTTCTGGAAGAGATTTTGGGCAAAAGGAGTAAATTATGCAAAAGGATTCAGGTTTTCCCATTTATTCCATTATAGACTTTTTATAACTTTCCTGTGACTGTCACAGAGTTGATTTTTTTTTTTTTTTACAGTAGCAGACAGTCTAATGAGAAAACTGGTTTTATTTCTACAGGAGATGTATAGAGATCTAGATGTGCTGTTCCTGACGGACGAGTGTGACACCGTTTTGGCTTATGAAAACAAAGGCAAGATTGACCAGGCCACTGACAGTCGAGACCCCTTGATGGACACCCTGAACAGCATGAACAGGGTCCAGCAGGTGGAATTGATATGTGGTAAGCTCTGTGTGTGTGAGAGAGAAGGAGAATTCTGGAAGCTCGTAGAGTTTTCATCACTGTTTTTAAAAAGTACAGGTAAAGAGTATATTAAATAAGCATCTTTTGTTTTAACTTACGGCAAAGAATGTTAAACGTTTGCATTGTAGACCTCAACCACAGCTGCTGAGTTTTCGTATTGTTAGGTGTTCAGCTGCCGTTGTAATTTATGAGGGTTCAGTGTTTAATTGTTTCTACGCATGGGAATCACAAGGTCTGCTGTTTTGATAAAGGATAGATGTTGTTGTTGTTATGTGCCCTCTAGTTGCCTTTGTTCAACAGCCCTAAACCCTGCTCTATCCTGTGCCAATCTCATTGCCTCTGACATACCCATCCCGATTACCCCAATCACTGAATCAATCCACCTGATAGAGGGTCTTCCCCTCCTGCACTGTCCCTCCACCCTCCCAAGCATGATGTCCCTCTCCAAGGACCTGTCTCTCCTTACAACATGTCCAAAGCATGTCAGACGAAGCCCCAGAATCCTTGCCTCCAAGGAGCCACCTGGTTTAACCCTCTCTAGGATGAATCTGTTTGTTTTCTTGGCAGTCCATGGTACATTCAATACTCTTCTCCAGCACCACAGCTCAAAGGCATCAATTCTTCTATCATCCCTAGTCATTGTCCAACTCTCTGATGCATAACAAGTGATAGCAAAGACCATAGCCTGTATCAGATGCACCTTAGTCTCCAGAGTGACACCATTGCTCTTCAGTACCCTGGAGAGGTCCCTAACAGCAGACTTTCCCATCGCAATGGATGAGTCAGTAAAAAAAGGACAGAGCACTTGTCTCATTTTCCATCTGCTGGATTGTTCTTTAGCGGGTCTCCTGCAGCAAGCTGTCTTCCACAGTTGTGTGTGCCGCCGCCCCCCCCCCCACACACACACACACTGGTTCCAGGGCTTTTTGTCCCAGCACGTCCCTCCGATGTCCCTACCTTTAGTGCCCTTTGATGGCATTTACTGCTGCTATTTTTCATTTGTAACTGGTTGGTTTTCTTTGTGGTTTTGTTACCCTAACCGGCTTTTGAGGATGGAGGCTACATTTCAGAGATCTTTGTAGCCCAAAGGTGGCTTGTGTGTGATGACGACTGTTAGCGACTTAATGAACTTTAAAACAGAGTATTTGTTATTGTTCTGTATTATCCAGTTAGAACAACCCTTAGCTGACTCTCCAGCAGGTTTTGAGAGACAGTAAATTGCACTGGAGATTACCTATCCTTTTCCCATGGAGCAGCTGGTGGATTCGAACCACCTGGCTTTGACAGCTCGTTTCCACTAGGCCTCTAGCACTCCATAGTACAGTTCCACAGAAACAAACAATGAGAGGGGAACTTCCTTTGCTTACCTTATTAGAAGTGAGGCTATCCTTTTTTCTTCCTTTTTTTTTAATTTTGAAAGATTCTTAGGGATCAGAGTAAAGCCTAGAAAATTTGCAAGGAATTGGCAACAGTTTGTATACAGGTTTCACTTCAGAAACATCTGCTTTACAACAGCTAACCTCCTCCAGGGTCAGTGGTAAACAAGTGGGTTGTTTGTAAAAGCGGATGGCTCACCTAAAGTTCAGCTGCTTTTTTCATTTCTTTTTTATTTAGAATACAATGACTTGAAGACCGAACTTAAAGACTATCTCAAGAGATTTGCTGATGAAGGCACGGTATGTTGAGTTAAAAATGTGAGCGTAGCCCTGTATGTTTGGGATGAACTGTTTATTCCCTCTGATGGAAAAACCGTCTGCACTGATTACTTGAGGAGGGTTTCCTGCATCAGAGAGCTGTAGACAGGGCTGTGGGTATTAGCCGGGCTGATCAAAAACCCAAGCTCTACCTGCAACCGGGAGTTATTCTCATCCTCCACTAAAGGGTGGAGACGTTCACGCAAAATCTACAGTCCTGGGTTTTTATGCAAATCAGCAAAGATATCTTTGTTGTTGTTGTTTTAATTTTTATTTTTTATTATTTTGTGCACATGTACCGTCAAATCGGATCTGACTGGTACAGGAGGATATTGCTCCTCCTTCTCCGGCAGAGCATCTGGTGGATCCGAACCATGTACCTCTGGGATTGCAGTGCAGCTTCTTGCCACTAGGCCACCAGACCTCCCCAACCCAATATTTTTGATTTTTTAACACTTTGAAGAGGTCTTTTACAGCAGATTTGCTCAGTGCAGTATGTCTGCTATTTTTTTTTCTTTTTTTAAACTGGCTTCTAGGAGTATTGATTGTGGGACCAGGTGAAGTGAAATCCCAGACACTTTCAGTCTTTTCTTCATCTACTGTTCTGCCTCCTGTTGGTTCACAGATGTGAGGAGTTTGGTTTTCTGTATGTTGTGCAGCAAAGGGCTTGGCCCCACCCTGGCCGCTGTGGCATCTCATTTTCTTTCCTGATCTTTGCTTTTCATCAACAGGTGGTTAAGAGAGAAGACATCCAGCAGTTCTTTGAAGAATTTCAGTCAAAAAAGAGAAGAAGGGTGGATGGCATGCAGTACTATTGCAGCTAAAAGGCAGGAGGGAGCCTGATCTCTCCGGCCACTGAAGATGCCGTTTGTTGTCCCAGGAATAAAAGGCATTTTCACAGTCAGTCCCCCCCATCCTCCTGTCTTCTGAGAGGCTTCCTTCTCTAGCCTTGTGCTCCCCTCATCCCTAACTACAGCACTCATAAAGTAGAAGCTGATTGCGCACACAGCAGTTTTCTATAACTCGGCTAAATGCAGCTCATTCCACAGACTCAGTCTATCCAGGGTGAATTGCTTTCCAGTGTGAAGAAGTTTGATTTGGTTGTGAGAACGTAAACTGGCTTTTTAGTCAGGCTGTGGTCTTTAAATCCCTACTGTGTCTGCTTTGTCTCGGATCCCTTGTGTTCCCAGAGGCCTCACAGAAGGTTCTCTGATGTCCCCTCACCACGGAGACCCTTGGGTCAGAGTCCTCAAGTCCAGTCTGCTCTGTCTCCCACATCCCTACTTCTGGGAGGGTTGGCCTTGGCTCGGAAGGGACCTTGAACCTGGTTTCTTCTGGTGTTCACCTCCTGGGTAGCCAGGAAGGTGGACTCCAGCTGGGGTGCCTATCTCAGGCAGGGGGACTGGAGAATGGCAGGGTCAGGGAAGCAACCTGTTACAGATTTTACTAATAAATTCGAGGTGAAATTTTTATTCACAGTTCTGCTGGCAGTAGAGTATAGAATTTCAGGGCTGTAGTCTCACGGGACTTTCCTGGGGAGAACTGCCATTCCTCTTCTCCCTGACCTGCCTTCCTACGGACCGGAACTGCCCCTGTGATGCCTCAGTGATTCACAAAGTCCTTTGGATTTCTTTATATTATCAGGGATATTTGTATGCATGTATTAAAAACGGACCTATTTTGATATTGTTGTGTTACAAAAAATGTTAATAAAACTCAATAATTTCCTCCCCTAGAGCAAAACTGATGCCGACTTGTAGCAAACAGGGCAGTCACTGGCGTGTGGGGAGAGGTTGCATTCGAGGCCTCAGCTGCCCACACGATAAGCTTCTCTGTAAACTCTGGTGTCCACAGCTGGTTCCTTAATGACCATGAGGCCTTCGTTTGAAGTGCCTCCTGGAATGTTCTCCAAAACCCCAAGTTTGAAGGGCATCCCTTCACACGGCATGACATTGCTTAAAGCCTCAGTGTGTGTAGAAAACACCTTTAATACATAGAGAGCCGTCAGCTGCTCCTGATTCCTTCCAGTGGGTCGCACTGAGTGTGTTACACGAGCAGTGGTGGTGTTGGGGCCACATGCATGAATTACTATTCCTTCGTGTGTCTTTGGTCACCGTGTACACAGGTGCCCGTCAAGCGGAGGAGATGAACGCAGACTTCAAAAGTCAGGGCCCGACGAGCAGTTCTGAGCCCTTTGTTCACTGCCAGGCCCCCTAACAGCGGGCCGCATGGCTGCTGGAGGTGTGTGTCTGCTGGCTGGTTTACAAGCAATGGCTTGGGAACCGTCAGGTCAGGATTTCATACCCCTTCTGCAAGGTTGAACGACTTGTTTGTGTACCAGCATGGTCTGCAAGTTTTTATCTTCTTAAATGTCTGGCTTGACTAGCAGACAGCTCCTCGCCTCTTCCGGCCGCTGAGTACTCCAGCCGACACGTTACTGTGAGCCCCCAGTCCAGACCCCCCACCTCCCAGTGCTCGGGGGTGTGTGGTAGGACACACACGCCCCCTTCTTTGTTGTCACTCAGAAAATCTTTTTACCTGTTTTCTTATCTCTGTTGGACTGTCTCTTCCTGTAGAGACTGATTTTGGCCCAAGATGTGGCAGTTTATATCAATGCATGTTTTATGCAAAACAAGAATATATTAGTTGCTTCAAAGGAATTCTGGCATTGTATGCCCTTTTGTAGTAATTGTTACTGGACTTACATACTTCACTATAATCAGGTTTCTGTAAAAAGTTAAATAAAACCAATTCAGAGTATTGGCTTTGTCATTTTTTTTTTCATTGTTGTTTACTATTGAGTCAGAATTAACCCACAGCTGACCCTCCAGCAAGTTTTCAGAGGGAGAAAATGACACAGGAGGAGATTGGCCACCTTTCCCCCATGGTGCAGCTGGCGAATCGTGCTTAAATCCACACAGGCTCTCTCTGCACGTTGTAGCAAGGCGAGTGTGTGAGGAGTACGCTGTGGCCCTTCTTGGTGCCGACACTGCCTGGTGCAAGAAGTGAAGCAGTTCATTTCTCGCCTGTTTGTAAAGCACAGCCCGGTCCTGATCTGTCCCCCAGCAGCTCTCTCACTGCCAGCTTCCCAGCACCTCCTGGGAGCGGGGCCCTGTTCTCCTTGGGTTCTAATCGAACAAGAGAACCAAGGAGAGGGTTTGTGTTCCAAACAAGGATGTACATGGAAGGACTCTCCTGGAGCTCACAGCATCAGAGCAACGAGGTTCACCAAGGTGACACCCATTTCCAAGGTAAATAGAAAACAGCCAGCTTAGATCTGTTCTGGTGGCCACCCTCCAAGCTCTGGCCTGTAGATTATTCAGTGTACTGTTGTCACTGTGACAATTGAAGCTTTGATCCAGTTGGGGGAGATGGGTGTGGAAACAGCTTGCCTGGCCCTGCTGAGAGCCCCCGTGAGAGCCCCAGTGGGACAGAGGAAAAGAGCAAGTGATTCCAGGTCCGCAGAAGGAAGCTGGTGGACCCCAGGCCTTCGCCAAAGATCATGGTCTGGAAGAAGGGGGCGCACAGGAAACCAAGCCAGCGGGCACTCAGGGCTGGTACGGTGGCTTCCCCGTGAGGGCTTGAAGCTGCCATTAGAGGTGAGCCGGGGTCTGAAGGGACATCCCACAGGTGGCGCCAGGCCAGCACCTCAGTTCACCTGCATCAGGAGGCTTTCATAAGGTGTGTCCCCCCCCAGACCTCAAACCACAGGATCCCTAGGCTGGAAAACCGGAGCCACTGCCGTTGGATTAATTCTGATCAGCAACCCAGTGGGACAGAGTAGAGCTGCTCATAAGGTTTGAACCACCACAGTGCCAGCAAAGCGGCTTCAGTGTTGGAAGGGCCCCGAGAAGTGGCCCAGCCTCAGCTGTCAGGGCAGGAATCTCTTCCTCAGTGGATAATCCTGAGACCTGGACAGTTCTTTCCCACTGGGCTTCCATGCTTCCGTAACTCGGGGCAGCACCTTGTGACCTGGGGGACACTGAGCACTGCTTTCCCAGCTGCTGGGCGAGATCTTGAGAGCCCTGGAGGAGACAACGCCCTGAACGGCAACATAGAGAGAGAGACCCCAAATCCATCAACAGCTCTGAGGGAGCAAGATAGGCAGCCTCCTCCCATGTGCCTCACAGCCCCTGAAGCCCAACGGAGGGTCAGCTGTGTGCCGGCTCTGCCTCCAGGGTCACTTCTTGAATGAGCCACAGACGCGGTGAGAGCAGGGTCTGTGTGTCCCCTGCACTGCTGGAGGCAGCCCAGCACCTGCCAGGAAGGTCCTCCATTGTTAGGTGTCTGACCGGCAGTGCCCATTCACCCAGTCAGCAGCCAGTGGGCACCGGGCCTGGGCTGGACGCTTCTGTGCGTGCTGCCTCAATTCAGGCCTTACAATGACCCGACGAGCCGGACTGTCCACCCCCATTTTAAGCAGTAAGCCGTCTCTCGTTGAGTCAGCTTGGTCAGGGGGGCCCACGTGTGTGCGAGAGGGGCTGTGCTCCCCATAGGGTGTCAGCGGTGGCTTTGTCCGGAGACCATCATTGCCAGGCTTGGCTAGCAAGACTCCTTTGTGGATTTGAACCCTCGATCTTTTGGTTAGCAGCTGAACGTGTTAATAGTTTGCACTTCCCAGGGGCTCCATCCCCATTAGATGTAGAAATTGAGGCTCCACGAAGCTGAGGTGAAACAGTCAACAATGACCCCCATAACCAAGAACAGCCCCCACCTGATCCCAGGCCGCCTCGGCCCCTACCGTACTCTGGCCTTCCTGGAGTCGGGGTGGCTGGGAGAAGTCAGAGACTGGAGTGGAAGTAAAGATGCTGCAGCCAAAGCCTGAGCCACAGGGTGCCGAGAGTTAGTGTCCTGGGGTCGGAGGGGCAATGGCCTTTCTTGCTTTAATAAATTAACTTGCCCTCCCTGACAGAACTAGACTTGGCCCCCAAATCTCAGAGGAGCCCCAATGAAAGGTTGTTGGTTCAAAGCTACTCCTCAGAGCCCTTCAGGGCAGTTCAACTCAGCCACAATGGACTCTGTGAGCTGGAATTGACTTACCGCACCAACAATAACCAGCATCTAACCGCAGCGGGAGAGGTTTTCCTAAACCTTTCCAGAAGCAAGGCTCCTCCTGCTTGGTCCACCTGAGCACACCACGGAATGGTTGCCCACTGGAGGCTGCCTTCCGCCAGGAGCCCACAGGATAGATGGCATGGAGCAGGCAGCCGAAGGCACACGGGGGTGGGGCTGACAACTCTGCTGGGGGACCCCACAGGGCACCGGGGCTGCTGCTTGCTGGAAACAGAACCGCTGAGCCGTGGGGAAGTGGGAACTCTTGTCTGTCTGGGTCTGAGGAAAGCGGGCCCCACACAGCTTCTCCTGAAGCTGGGCCTTTGCAGACAACTGGATGCCCCTGGTGGATGGGCGCTGGACGCGGTGGGTGGGCGCTGGCCCCGGTGGATTGGCAGGCAGCTCAGTGTGAGGTGGAGGAGAGGTAAATGGATGACGGCTTTGAGGTCCTTCCTGGATCTGAGGCTTGGCTCTCACCCTCACCCTACGGCAAAGGCATCAAGGCAGCATCAGCAATGAGGTCCGCCTGTACAACTGCTTCCACCTCACCAGCCATGTGGGTCTCTGTGCCTCAGTTTCCTCATCCGTCCGATCAGGGCAATATTCCTTATATGCCTCACTGAGTCATGGAGAGAGCCGTGAACTTGACACAGAGTGGGAGTCCGCTGCATTTTCACCATTACCGCTGGACAGGCAGAGAAATAGGCCGAGGAGACACAGACGGGCTCAGGGCGACTCCAGCTCTGCAAGGCAGCAGCCAACCCTGCACCTC